TGGCCTTTCATATGCCGCTTCTTTCACAATAAGAAAAAGCAGAGCCTGACAGCAGACGAAAACCCGCGTGCAAGAAAAGAGGAGGGTATACCACCTGTCTCTTATACACATCTAGATGTGTATAAGAGACAGGAGAGAGAGAGAGAGAGAGAGAGAGAGAGAGAGAGAGAGAGAGAGAGGCATGGAACAAAGGGAGGAACACTGACCTTCGCCAACATACTCCATGACCGTCCAAGGCGGCAGTGGGTCGCAGTAGCTGAAGAATGCACTACACGGTGTATTGCAGCAATGGACGCAGACATGGAGTGCAGCCCTTTTTTTTGCGCGGTGGCCTGGAAAAGTATGGGGTTTGAATTCAAAAACTTAGCCCCTCCCTGCTGGAGGGCATCTCAGGAAGATGCATCCCCCACAGAAGGGCAAATCGGACAGGCTGCAGGTGAAATAGGACTGTGGGTCCCGTAGGGGCATTCCGAAAAGTTGTGCCCCTCACTGACAGGGGCCTGCACAAAAGTTTGGAGGCTCAGGGGCATATCAGGGTAAGTCGGCCGCAGAAGGGGCAAATCGTAAGTAAACGCAAACTTCAGGGGCATTTCAAAAATATTCCGTTTCCGTATTGGTGGTTGAAGTGCCCCTATTTTGGAGCATTGCGTTCAGGGGAAGAAGGTAGCTCATCGCCAATTTTTTTTTTGAAATCTATATTCTTCTCAGTTTCACCTCACACTACCTACCTACCACTACTCCTAATTGTAGGCACACGGGGAACCTGTAGCAGCCAGAACCGTGTTCAGGAGAGAACATGAGGGGGCTGCTCCCGACCTGCAGGTGGGCGATACCGGCTAGGGGACAGCCGGTAGCATTAGGGACCACGCCAACAGGACCAATCCCTGTGCCTCCCCTCAGGTGGTGGTCCCCACCCCTACGAACATCGGCAGACTCTGCTCAATGCCGATCAGGGATCCAGTGGTCTATCTCTAGGTGGCGGCACCAAGCATGCCCAGGAAGGTACATGAGGACAATGGGGATTGAACCCACGACCTCCTGAATGCCACTTGCGAGCCTTACCAACTGAGTTAGGCCGCAGAACTATTCCAAGGAGCAGCTAGATTGGTTTTGCAGGGAAAAGGCAGTGGAAATACGAGCACTGTAGTGTAGTAGGCTACCTTCTTCCCCCGAATACAACGTACGGTCATTATAGCTGTATCTAGACTGAAAGATGCCTCAAGTACAGCTATAATGACCGTACGTTGTATTCGGGGGAAGAAGGTAGTAGTAGCGGTAGAGAACTGTCACAAGTTTCAATCTACTACTGTAGTATTGCTCCACTGCCACCACCTATACTACTACTGCCCGTAACCACGGTGGAAGTGATACAGACGCTGGTGATGGTAATGATCGCTGATGGACGATGATGATCGCTGATGATGATGATGATGATGATGATGATGGTAACGATAAAAGTGAATAATGATTAACGATTAAAGTGAATAATGATTAACGATTGATGATCTTTGTCACCAACCAGGCCGGCCCGATCACCTTGGTGGTTGCCCGGGCGGTCCGGGCGGGCAAGAGCTAGGGAAGATCCCTGTATAAAAATTAAAAAAAAAAAAAAAAAAAAAAAAGAATCGGAGTGCGGAAGAAAAATAGACAGAACAACTTTTGCCTCAGGCGCGGATCGAAATTGTTTTCAGAATCCGAAAATTTGATTATTAATTTATTACTGTAATTTATTTTGGCCTCGCCGGGCAAGTGGTCTCGGGGCAGCAGCATAGTTGATGATTGAGGTTTGATTCTTTATTCTAGATGATGGGTGATTGATGATCATGATTGGTAATGCTGATCTCATGATTGATGATGCTTATTGATAATGATGACTGATGATTGATGACGACGATGATGATGCTGAGGGGATGATAATGGTGGTGGTGGCGGCGGTGGCGATGATGATGATGATGATAGACCATGAGAGTGACGCGATGAGGGTAATAAAGGTAAGGAAGCTAATGATGAGTGCAATTATTACAACGTTGCCAAATTTTGGAACAAAGAGGGGGGGAGGGGGGGGGGGGTATGGATGAGACAGGTTGAAAGGTTGAAATTGATGGGGGGGGGAAGGGAAGAAAATAGAGGTTCGATCAGAGGGAAACAAACATGACATGGATTGTGAAGATCAAGGACCAGAAGTGAAAGAAAAAAAAAAAATAGGCCCAAGTGGGACTTGGTCCCAGGTGGGCGGGGGGCGGGGGGTGTTCAGCGGAACCACGCGGAACCGTCAGCGGAACCACGCGGAATGAAGTAAGCCAGGGCTAGTGGAATCATGCAGGAGACTGACAGCAGTAGCAGTAGCAGCAGCCGCAGGATGTCTAACATGTACTACCGTTTTCACCCGAATAGAACGCCACCCGAATAGAACGCCTGGTCATTCTATATGTATGTATTTGGGTCGGGTCAGCTGTCACTCTAGAGACAGCGATAACGACCGGGCGTTCTATTCGGGTAGGTGAAGACGGTAGTATAGTAGTTGATGAATGAGTGCTCTCTCGGTTATGACTTTGCCATAACAACGCTTACACCCACCCGAGACAGCACTGATTCAACTACTACCGTCTTCACCCACCCGAATAGAACGCGGAATTGCACCAATGACATGATGACATGTCCAGCTCGCCAGCGGAATTGCACACCACCACCTTTTTTTTTTTCTTTTCTTTTTTCTTTTTTTTTCTTTTTTTTTTCTTTTTGTGTGTGTGTGTGTGAGAGTGATGAATTGCACACCTTCTTGCTGTGGCCGGTATGAGAGGCTACAACCTATTTATGAGGGGCTACAACTGATTAATGAGGGGATACAACTGATTAATGAGGGGCTACAACTTATTTATGAGGGGCTACAACTTATTTATGAGGGGCTACAACTTATTTATGAGGGGCTACAACTTACTACTAGATGACCTGTTGCGGCGTCGCACGCAAAAACAGAAAAGGAAAAAGCACACAAGAAAGAAAAAGCATAAGGAACTGGCCTTTCATATGCCGCTTCTTTCACAATAAGAAAAAGCAGAGCCTGACAGCAGACGAAAACCCGCGTGCAAGAAAAGAGGAGGGTATACCACCGAATACCACCGAACCTTTTTTTTTTCCCTTTATGTTTGAGTGTTTTGCTTGGGGAGCCATTACCTTTGCAGCATCGTTTTCGTTTTGTGCTGTCCAAGAACTCTGCACTTTTTTCTGAGAAAATCCTGTCCGTTGTGCCGTTGATGTTTTTATGCTAAAGATTCAGATCCACATTCAGATCCAGACTTTGTTTGCTGTGTTCTCTGGATATGTTTGTGATCAACCGATCTTGCATGTATGTGTGCCCCCCCGTGCTTACTCGTTGAGTTTCGACGCTATTTGTGTGTGCCAGTGCATGCGCGCGTGGGTGAGTCTCAGTTTGGTGGGCTCGGATGATGTCATTGATGATTGGGAATCCCGGGGAAGTTGTTGGGAGTCGCTTCCAACTATATAGGAGTGCCGCTGATGTTAAGAAGCAGGGGTTTTGCATTGTATGAATGATGAAACAATCAGAGCATTCAATCTGCTTGGCACTTGCTCTTCGTGTGGGGGGTACTTGTCGGC